CAGAGGACATAATATCTAATCTTTCGATTGTTCCATCCTATTTAAATAACACGCCTGGGGTGTGTAGTCGTGTATGACAGTAATATCGTCTCCGTAATAATAGGATGGTGCAGTAATGTCGGTCAACCAAACGCTCCATAGCTCTTTTAAGCTACTGTCCATCATAAGTGGAGGATCCAGATTTCGCCGATGGTATATCTCTGATTTCACACAAACTAGAAGATATGCAAGTGAAAAGTAACAAGTTGGCAGAAGAAGCATCCATAGAAGATAGGACTTCAGGTGAACGTAGAGAAAACAGAGGTGATAAAGATTCCTGGCCAACAGCAACAACAATCAGCATAAATGGCAGGAGTCTGGAGGAAGCAACCTCCTTTACCTACAGACATGGGAAGCATCGTTTCAACTACAGGCGGAACCGACGAGGACATCAGAACGTTTTCACCAAGCTCCACGTCTACCAACATGCTTTCATCTACTCGTCGCATCACCTCCTCCACGTCACCCTCGCACTGACGACCAACTCGCCGCTTCCCATTCGATTTCCACTCGAGTGATGACCTGTCGTGTGATATCACTTGATGACTTGTTCTCTCAGAGTATGGCCAATCCACCAACTGAATTTCTTCCTGCTTGTTTGTTGCACAATTGGTTCCTGCTGAGTTGGTTCTCTCCCAGAGATCTCTCAGTATTGCTTATCTTTTCCGGCCATCTGATCTTGAGTATTGAGCAAAGACAACTGTAGACGAAGGTCTGTAGTTTGTTCGAAGTGCCTTTAGTGACGCGGCTGCAAGTCTGTCATCCGTATAGTGGCATTGACTTTACATTGCAGTTGAAAATCTGGATCTTATCTTTCATGCTGAGTGCTGTTGATTTCCACACCGACTTGAGAGTAATGAAAGCTTGCATTGCTTTCCTGATCCTCACTCTGATATCCTCGTCAGTTCCGCCTGTAGTTGAAACGATGCTTCCCAGGTAGGTAGGTGGCTAAAAAAGGGTTTTTATAAAGTACCTACTACCCAACAAATAGGCACAAGGCAATAAAGATGAATTTGTGGTAGACTGATTAATCTGTTTAATAATGCTAAAATTTCTAACAAGAGATGTAAGTCAATCCGGCTTAATAAGTCTGGACGAAAATAATGACACTGTCTTCGATTTTACACTCAAGAGAAACAAGGCAGGGTACAGAGTACCCACACTTGACATTCCTTCATAGAGAATAATATTATTTGTGATAATTCTGATGACAACACCCCGATTAGGTCAGCTAAAGTTCGTATATTCTGCCAGTTCGTGTTATACGGACACCATCTTACAATTCACTGATCAGCAGTCATTGCTTTCCTATCAAACTTCATGATTCTTAGTCGAACAGGGCTCTTTCTCTTAAAACCCTAAAATAGATTCATTTTGAAGCTAGTCCTTGGACAGTAACTTAGTTATCATCACATTTTCATAGGAGTTAGAAACTGTGGTACTGTCAAGTCTAACCCAGCCGATGAATAGTAATCTGCTGAAGCCGTAACTTTACTGTTGAAACATCCCTCAAACTAAGACAATAAACAATTATCCCCTTCTCTTAAGCTTTGAAACGTTATTTTAAGCGATGTTGGCCCGTGAAATAATCTCGACAGATTTCCTTCAGACAGTATTTTTTTCTTCCTTCACGCTCCCAGTGGAACATAGGGCCTCAAGCTAGTGGCTTGAAGTTTCTGTAGCAGTGTTTTAATTTTTACAGGATGCGATTGTTAGCCTCATGCCCAACTTTTCGTCTTTACCAGCATTATTTCTGGCTTAGCGAGGTAAAGGAGTGCGTAAGTGGCCGGTGATCGAACCCCGGACCATGTGAATGGTCGGCGAGCCTCCTAACCGCTATGCCACTGACGCACAGACAGTATTTAGTAAATTATATTTAAAAAACTTATTCGGAAACCTGCTTTGTGAATTTGTAGAACACTTTCTACTAAGTGAGTTGGAAATCTGCATTCTGAACATATTAACTGTGTGTTATGTTTCACAGTAACATTGAAATTGAAATAGGGACGCCGAGCTGGACACAGACGTGGAAATCACAAATACCACCAACGACATTGTGTGACGGCTATCCGTCCGTCCCCACAGTCCACTCTACTTAAGACAGAACACACAATGACATCAGTCGAAAAGTTTATCTCAGTATTATCAGCCACAGTATATTTCGCACAATAATGTATGATTGAAAAATTCACCAAGGATATCTCACTTAGTCTATAGCCATGATTAATAAAATGGTGGGCTTTTTTATGTAGGCCAATTCTGGTTGGTTTATTTCCAGTATAACCTTGGTCATTCATTCATTCTTTGTCTATCTAAATGTCACTGTAACAGTTTTATCATATTGGAAGGAATGGAATTGAAAGAACTAAAAAGTAGAGACTCTGAAACAGTGACTTATTACATATATACCGTATCATAAATAGGAAAACTACATGCAGGTGATATGTCCTATATAGGCGTGTATTACAAAATGCAACAGTTACAATAATTATTTAATTGAATTTAAGATTTTCCCGTCGATCGATTGGACCGGAGTGCTCCGTCTCAGGTTGACTTGTCAGCTTCTTGTGCAGATGCTTCGACGATGTCTGAGCATGTAATTAGAATTCAATTGGTGGGTGGTGACCAACAGTGGAATCCAGTTTGCGCATTTCGTCCTATTTGGGACTCGTCCGCCGGCTGGATGAACCTGCGTTCCCCAGTGAGTGCATCCTAGATTCCACTGCTGGCCACCATCTACCAACTAAATTCTAATTACATGCCCAGACATAGTCGAAGCATCTGCACAAGAAGCTGATAAGTCAACCTGAGACCGAGCACTTCGGTCCAATCAGTCGGCGGGAAAACCTAAAATTAGATATGACGGAGAAGATTTGTAGCTCAGGTGGATGATTTTGATCTCGTTGTGTTCTCTGAGCTGGATAGTTAATTTGTGAAGCTTTCATCACCCTACTAGGTGACATCTTCAGCCCATACTTCAATTTGTTGAAGTCAGCTTTTAGATTTCTCTACGAGTTTATCAATCATCTCTCCCGGTGACCTAAAATTCAATTAAATAATCAATATGACCCGTTGCACAAGAGGTGGCTCTCGTGGCCCAAATGGTCTAGTTGATAACGCTTTGGCGTTTGAAACTATGGGCACTGGGTTCGAGCCTCTGTGGGAACGTCATCATTCACTAGGAAGTGCAGGTAGATCCAGATGACGAGTCCCAAATAGGACGAAATGCGCATCCTGGATTCCAGTATTGGTCACCATCCACCAGTTAAATTCTAGTTACAATAATTGCTGTTCCAACAAATTCAGTTTTTGTAATTCGCCAATTTCTGCAGACTAAAATACGTCCTCTGTTAATACTACCTACTTCATGAAAATGATTTGAACAGGAACACAATATTAATACCTCAGTTCAATGAAGCACACTCAACCATGAAATTCACAGGTGAAAAAGAAGAAGAGGTTAGAAGCAGTGAAGACAGGCTTCAGGTGAATCAGAAAAGACGGAGGTGATGAAGATATCTGACCAACAACAACAGCAACGACCAGCACCAATCTCAATCAACAGGGCGGGGGAATGTGAAGGGAGGATATGTTTGAATTTGCGGAATCAATAAGTCAACTGAATTGAATGTATCTGGGTTAACTATGGCTTCGCTGGCCGTAAATTCCCTATCCATCACTAACGTCCACCAAACCGAAACTTTATCCTACCTATGTGAATTTATCGACTCAAATAATCTGAATTTTGGTACGCCGAATGAGCATTTCAAAGAACAAATCTTGAGATGAACACTGTATATTCAGTGTTGACTCATTGGCCGTATATACCATCAGAAAGTTGAATTTGTAATGGGTTCACCAGTTGGTCCATTGTCACCCAATTACACTATGGTGCACCCTGAGTCAAATATCCACCTACCGACAATCGAACGGTTCGAAGTTTACAAGCGCTTCATGGATGATATCTTCATTCTCACCGATGAAAATACTGACCTAATCAAAACTCTAGAAATCTACAACAACGGCCACCAATCAGTCGAATTCAAAATTGAAGCAAAACCAGGAGGTAAATTATCCTCCCAAGGTGTCCAGCTTGCGATACGAACAGATGGAAGCACTAACTGGTGTGGTTGTCAAAAGCAGGACACTGAACAATCAACAGCTTAATTCTCAAGTATAAAGCTACTTCCGGCCGCACAACACCAGCAAATACTTCATTCGAAATGTCATATGCAAACAGATATGGTGGTTGACATTCACCAATATATCAGAGTCAACTATAAACTACAACCAAGATGTTCGAACAAATTTCGCCTAAATCTTCTTCATGTAGCCGAAGACTTAGTAATTTATAAGGAGAGTCTTGGACTTTGCGTCAAGAAACCCTTTATCCAGCCTCTATTGCTACCATGGCCTTAGTACCCTTATCTTCTTTTCTTGAATAAATCTGGGTCAGACATTTGATGCATCAGCAAAAGCGTTTCAAACAGGTTACTGCAGCTGCCTTCCCTCCATTCTGAATAACAGATAGCTACAAGGCGTTAGCAACAAGGAACTGGTGGCAACAAATCAACCAAGAGACTACAGCCCAACAAGTGTACTGGAAAACAAAATGCGGATTGACAGGACATACACCGAGAACACCTTTGAGTGATATCACAACAAGTCACGTACACCCTCCAGTGGAACCCAAACAGGGAACGACGAGTTAGGTGTGTATCCGAAAGTGACATGTAGGATGTCACGCAACTGTGTAGCCAGCTTAATTGATTGCAGCGAACAGGACAACATGGAGATGTGCTGTTGAAGCCCTATGTTCTACGGGGAACCTAAGGGAGTAATAATAATAATCACGATATTTAGGCACGTGATAAAATGTAACTTTATGTAATGTAATCTTTATTTCAGATAAAAAAATAAGTAATCAGATATTAAACAATAACATTAATCTGTAGAAAAGATGAGATTCTATTCATCAGAAGTCAGGTCAATTGATATAATTGAAAGTGGGGACGCAGACAGTCCTAATACAGAAGCCGTTACTGGTCCGGGAGCTTTAGAATTCAGAGATTTCTCTTTCAGCCAACAAGAAAGAGATACAAAATCACTTAACGGTTGTTCCACATGGATATTACTCAAATTATGTGAAGTATTTGGAAATTCCGTCAATGAGAGACTGTCGCTAGTTGACGCAAACGAGCACAAGGGACTTTCAATTAGTGAGGTGGAATTCGTTTCTGAGATTTCAGAAGTATTCGTTCCAGCTGCAGGTAAATGGTTCAATTTCCTCAGCTTCCGTTTCAATTTCCTAACTCGCCGTCTATCAAGAGTCATTGTACAACTGTTCACCTGATCAGAGTGTGAATGCGCTTCCGCACCACTACATTGACAGACAATATTCTCAGTAGGAGAGTTAGCAACAATATTACTAGGTAAATAAATGCACACCTTCTTTATTGACTTTTCCTTCTTCCGGTTTATTGAGACAACGGTACTAACAGATGATAACTGGGGTCCACTTTCTGATATCCCATCAGAATTGCCCACAATAGAATATGTCGACTCTTCATCAAGATCATCTTGGCAACTCGAATCCTTCAAAGGTGAACTGCGATTGTTTGTGGAAGCACCTGGGCTTTCTGGAATCCCATCAGAATTAGACGAAGGAACAGAATTATTTGAAGTGACGTCAACATCTTCCGTAAGTTCAGTTGTGTTAGGCTGTGAAGACATATTCTCAACATTATCGCTTGTAAAGCACACACAAGATAGTCCGTCCACATCAACGTTTGATGGGACAGACGGCGCCTCAGATTCATTACATTCACTATGTGTTGAGACCAACATAAGACTGTCTGATAGTTTATTCGGTATGAATGAAAAGATTTCCGAATGAGTACATAAGGTTGTTCCAGTTACACTAACCGAAGCACTTCCATATGAATCACTTACACTAGTGACGACCGATGACGTATCACTGTCTTTTGACACCACAGAACTGCACACCTGAACCGGTTGAGGAGAACACTGGCTACCGTTAACTTCTCTCTCACAATCATATGAATTTCTAACAGATCCCTTTTCTCTGCACGTGACATCAACTTCAGTAGGACTATTATTACAAGCATTTCCTGATGATAAGGGATTTGAAAAGCTCTCAAGTGATGACACATAATCCACAACAATCTCAGTAACTAACTTTAAAGAATTCACTTCTGACTTATCAGTAGTACTTTCATTCACCGAAACAGAAGATTCTGACGAATTTATCACCTCTGTGGTTCGAAGAGAATTAGAATCTAAAGATGAGGAGGTGTTCGGTGACATACTTGTAACATTCTTTGAACTTGTTTGCTTAACAGTAATAAGTAATCTTTTCTGAGGAATTATATTAGGGGAACACGGATTAACGGAGTGTGATATGGAAGATTTCACTCCAGCACACCCATCACTGATCAGTCTTGCATTAGCATCATCGACCTCATCACGTGAAATACGCCTTTCACTTTGACTACTACTGCTGCTACTGACTTTTGGAGTAATCACTGTGATTACCGTAGATTTCAACGTCTTCCTTAATGTCCCTTTCGAATAAGCAAAGTCTTCCACCGAATCACCGCATGTCGGACAAACAGTTTTACTTAGATCACTGACTGAGTTTCCTTGAATAGGATGTTCGGCTGGAACAAAAGTTAAGTATTGCGGTGGCCATGGCGATATAGCATTCACATTGAACTTATTCAACACAGACCGGGATGAACCATTTTTTGAACCATATGGAATATTTAAACGACGGCATGGTAACTTTAAATCGTCACACAGAGACCGACATTTCCAACAATCATAAAGTTGTCTTAGCATGTTAATCATAGTCCTACTGATCTGCTTCAATTCTACCTCACGTTGACGTCGACTCCAAGCTTCAATTGCATCATACTGACTATGCAGAGAGGAGAAGAGATACTTCAAATCAACATCAGCACGTGGACTAACAGAGGAAAGCTGCTCTTTGTATGCTGGCACCCAAGTCTCCACTATGGAGGAATAAGTCTTTGATAACTCCTCTTTGAACGAAAACACACTTTCACACAGACCACGAATATGTCCGAAGACATCGGTGGTGAGATACTTGAGTAAGAAGAAAGCAATATTCGTAAACGTCTCAAAATCCCGCTGCTCTCTTGATGACGTATTCAAGTTAACAAGTCCTCGTGTATATACAATGGAATCGAATACACACTGTTTTGAAGGCAGTAAACTAGTATCCTTGTTGTCACAACCAAAGAAAGGGCTAAGCAAGAAATCACTCGATGTTATACTACACAACGTGTGGTACATTTTCTCCAGGAAATTTAACACATTACGGAGAGGAACGCAAACCTCTTCTGCTAATATACGAATAATGTTATCTCGTGCACATGATTCCGATTCAAAAAGACGAGCTCGTTTATGAGCCAGCCGCATAGAAGAACGTGATTGAACAGAATTGCTGTCTGTATTCGCGAGTTTATGCCTCGCCTTCAAACAAGCACCAGCTGACATAAGTGATGCATACGAATCACATAATCGCCACAAACAAACAGATATACCTCGATGTAGACATTCCATACTACTGAATAGATTCAAGGAGACACTCTTGTTTACTTTAGCATTTGAATTACAACCTGGAGTCTTCTTAGCCTCACTCAGAACTTGTAAGCATGTATTATGAAAAGAGCCTATTAGAAATCCGAAAGACGCAATGTGGTGGAAATCTAGGCCGACCTTCCTTCTCAGGAAACACGAAACTGACTCAGGAAGACAGTTGCACAATTCCACGTGTAAATTTCTTTCACGCATATTATCATCCACCGGATTAGGTGTAGGTAACTCAAAAGCATCATCACCATCATCACGATCGTTTCGATCCGACAACACATCTAATGATGCTGCTGACGATGAAGAAGAAGCATTTGAAATCTGTTGACATTTCGATGAAAGATATTTTGACATATTTAAAATGTACTTTTTCGCATCAGGTCTGAATATTAAACGTGATAATGCCTGCAGAAGTCTTTCTGGACAACAGTTGTACCAGAATCGGTTACGTGGTAGACAGCTACAAGCAATGTCTAGTGTCCGCTTCAACAAACTGTCAGAGGACCATCGGACAACAAATAGTGGTGGTGACTCTGAAATTACCAATGGATACTGAGACCGACGAGCAGAGTTTCGTGATGATAAACCACCACTCAATGTAAAAAGACGTATATCAGCTAGAGGAACTCGACGACAAAATAGCCAACAGTGTTTTAATACTTGCAAAGAAATCATCTGGTGTTTACGATTTGTAAGTAACAAATATAAAACTCGTATTACATCGCCAAGTAGTAAATGAGATTTCATTTTATGTCTAAAAGAGAAAATCAAAAACAGTCAACAAATGAACTGTGTCTGTCTGTGTGTGTGTGCATATGTATAATGAATAAAGGTAGAAATATCCCCCCACTCAAATAACACTAAACACCAAATTCCAGTGGTACTTACCCTGATACTCTCCGCATAACATGACCACTTGTCACAAGTCATCTATGATTACAAACTTATTGAAATCAAGTAGATTAAAGTGAACTGTTACATACTTCATCTCACACTGTCAAACACCACGAATATCAACAAGTGTGAGAGGAGGTCAAGGGATTCGTCCACAGATTTCGTCGACAGCTAGTTCTTCAAACCCAATGAACGACACATTTCGCCACTTCACTACACATCCTTGAAATCGGAGTCAGTGAAATCCAGTCGTCTAGCATTAACTAAAACATCACACTCACTCACTCACTTACTCAGTTCTTTGGGAAACACTGCCTACTCTTGAACAGCAAGTCAACACGAGCTCTCATACAACTGGCTGCATCAGTTCCACTAAAGTCTATACATCAATGCGCAAACATTATTTATTTCTCGGGACTCTATTTTGTTATGTGTAATCACAGAGGAAATCGATAGTTAGTCAGTTAGAATAGCAATTGTAAAAATACTGGTTATTCAGATAACCAACCGGTCCGATTTCAGCGAATCAACTGACGTCTAAATATCAATCAGATTTAACCACTACTTGTTTTGTTACCAATACAAGTAGCCTAGAGAGTATGAAAACATGAAAACAACCAATTACGTGCACGGTCACCAGGAGAGATGACTAATAAACTCGTGGAGAAGTCGAAAATACACCATCCAGATCAGTGAACACATCAAAATAATCATTGGTCTTCAATACAGTAATCGAACTACCACTTTTACTCGCACATTTGAGAATACTCCTTTCCCAATAATTAGTGTGTGAGTATTCTTCAAAATACCAGTTCACATCAGGGAAGTGGAATTATGAGTCGACAAACAGATGAAATTCATGGAGACCCTTACTATCATCACCCCAAAAATTGCTTCAACTTCATCACCACCAGCAGCACACCTGTTCCCACCACTGCAACATCTGGCTGATGCAATTGCAAATAGCATTATGCAATTCAATTATCATCCACATGCAAATAGAAGTTCTGATACATGCCAACGACTTTACGAAGACTGCACAGCACAATGCTTCGAAAATATGATTGTTACTACATAAGTTGGGTGACATAGAATATGATAAATATTGCAACCTAATTATCCCTGAAATTCCATGTGGAAAGCACTTCAATGACTAAGTCAAGTCACACAACCAACAGCTTGAAGACCATTCCTCATTGTTCAACATACGATATCAATGTCAGCGATTAGGCTGATACCCAAAGTCATGAGGGTTCAGTCAATACAGAGTGGGAAAGATTTCGACTCAAGAATTTAACAGAGGATGACCTTAAAGCCCTCAACTCTAATATGCAGTCTTCACTCTCACAACTCCAGAGATATTCCAACACCACTGCTTTAATCGGCTGCAACAAGTCCCGAAATTAATCCTAAACGACACAGCAGTTGGGTATGAACGGTCTAGTCGAATCAGCGTTTTTGGGAATCACTAACATCCATGCATCCATGAATTCATGCAGGACAAAAAGTACTCCATTATAAACACGCTAGATAGCCAATTGTAACAAACACTTTAGATTCACAAGAAAGTAAGAAGGAAACAACTACAAAATAAGCAATGACGTACTTGGCAGATTGCGATGCATACGTACAAACACAATACGGCATTCTTAAAAGTTTAGCATCTTCATTTCTAATCAGATCAATCGATGAGATCAATTTAACTTTGATTAATTCTCCTTTCGACATTGATGAGAATTCCTAGTACACCGAGAACAAACGAAGAAAAAGAATGAAAGTTACTCAAGATTATTTGAATGATTCTCATAGAGACATTTAACTCTGTACTTAAAATGTTCTATGAAAGTGTAAAAGTGATTAAAGAAGCTCATTAAGGCTTTCAAAATACTGACTACTCAACATAGAATATTTTCCTCGCTAACTTAACCATGAGGTTCTACAGTTTATATTCAGAATAATGAAAGAATGATTGTTATTGACAACATTAGTGTAGCTAGTCTAGGTACTCCATCTTCCAACTGAGGAATCGCAACCGGTCATGTAGAAAATATGACTTGTAGTTCACCAGCATTAAGAGTTCTCTGGATTTTCCTCACTTCTTACTAATTATTTCAGGCGTCCTACGATCTTCTGGTAGTTCATCTACTGCATATTGCCTGAGGGCGACATTCATTTCATTCTCTTGCATTTATGTGGATAAACAGTCTGTCTGCTTTAATGTCATACCTGTCCAGCGTCTTCTTATCGGGATGATCTCTGCTTCGACTTAGAGATTTCTGATAAACCTTAGGACAGTGAAGATTGTCAATGAGTACCTGAAGTATAACGATTAGCTCCATGAAAAAAAGACTACTTTGGACTTCATTAACAATTGAATCGAATCAAATCACCATCCATCAAAGTAGAGTTCATTGCAATAAGTAGACTCTGAAACGACATGGCATTAAACCGAACAGACTGTTTATCTACATACATACAAGGGAATGAAATGAATACCGTCCGCAGGCAATATGCACTAGATCAACCACCACAAGATCATAAGACACGTCACCCAAGTTAGTGAACAAAGGGTACAGAAGAAGAAGAAGAAGAAGACGAAGCTTATCAAAGGACTCGAAAGGAAGTCACAGGCTGGGCAATATCCCATAGATCATGAAACTTACTTCCATAATTATAGTAGTTTTAAATTAAATAAAGTGCATCTCGAGGTACTTTCTCTTCACCTACGATTTTACAACAGACGCAAACGAGTCATTCATTTAGATTCGCGCTATGTCGCGAATTGGCAGAAGTTGCAATTCATGGACTGGCCATTGGATCGGGTCCCAGTGGCTTAATGGTCTACGAGCTCGCTAGCCTTGTAACCAGAAGCTATAAGGTTCGAATATCGGTGGGCACATACTGATAAAGAGTCCGAAACTAGGACGAAACAGCTAGTTTTGCAGTACTCCCAGCTGCTTTGCCAATGGTTGTCTAACCGATTTCAGCTCATGATGAAATCCTGTAACCAATCAATCAAATCCCTACAAACTTATACTTCAAAGCCCACTTAGTCAGACAAGGAATTGAGTTCCATCCTCCATCCTCAAACTAGAACGCTTCAAATCCAGGCTAGTGGATTGTTGTTATCATTACAAAACATCAGCAATTTATTATTATTACTATACTAAAATGACGAATCATATATTGAAAGTCACACAGAAGTTCCAAATGCTTGAGGAGAAGATTGATTTCAATAACAAGATGGAGAGTGATTTAACCAGACGTTTGGAGGAACTTAGGGTACAACAGATACTTCCCAAAAGACTAAATGAAGAACTCAAACCGACGGGAATATAGGCGCCAAGATTATACGGCCTACCCAAATATATAAACCGGGGATTCCGTCAACATCAATACTCGATATGCGAAATTCGTTCTACCATGATTTACAATTTGCTTTTGTTCATGATCTTACTGTCACTACTAACACTGAATAAAAACTGTCATTAACAATCCCGGAATATTATCTTTACAACTGTTTTTAATATTACTTGATAAAATTAGATGCAATAATGTACCAAATGATCAAAATTCCACACCGTAACATTAGTACTGTTTCGGAATAAAGCAAATTATTATTATTATTATTGTTAAGACCAACATTTGATATACGGAATTCACTCTACCATGCTTTAGCAAGGCGGTTAGTCACCATTCTCAAACCTTTGCACCAACAAGTGGCGTCAAAGATGTATTTGAATTCGTAGAAAAATTCAAACATATTTATATCAAGGGTAAAACTATGATATCTCCAGATATAACATCCTTTTTCACAAATGTACCTCTAGTAGAAACGCTCAACTACATATGCGAACAAGTGTATACTGAGTCGATAAAAATTACGTTGAAACCAGTCAGGCATTCAGTCATTCAGTCAGTCGATAAATATTGGCATGAAAACAGAAATCCTAAGACAAACTTTGTTAGGGTATACCATGAATGCAAGTTCTAAATTTGATGGTACACTTTACAGACAAGTTGATGGCGTGGCAATGGACACCCCCTTGGTTCCATGTCAGCAGATTTCTGACTAAGCAAACTACGAAATGATCCTTTGAACAACCACCTTATCAAAAAATCCACATTTTATTCCCGGTATATGAAAATCATTTGGACAGAGATGCAATAATAACTCAGTTCAATGAAGTACATCCAGCCATCAAATTCATATGTGAAGAGCAACCCCAAAATAGAATCGTCCTCATAGACGTCCTTCTTACAAGAAAACCAAATAGTAGTATAAGGAGAAATTTGCATGAGAAAATTACATGAGCAGGACAATATACACATTTTCATAGCTTTGTTCCTCTCCAGTTCAAGAGAAATTTAATAAGGACCCTCAGCTACAGTGTAACAGCTATATGTTCAGAAGACGTAATTGAAGATCAACTTAGCATCGCATATGGCATCTTAATTGAAAATAGCTAAAAAGGAACGTTCATCAAGAAACACATCTGTAAATAAAGAGGCCCTTATATATATATATATATATATATATATATATATATATATATAATTGCATTTCAAGGGTGACACGTACCTAGTGAAATAATTACTGATAAGTTAAGAAAATCCATTCATCAAAGAATTTCAATTCTGGTAAACTGCAAGTCCTATTTTCCGCACGACCGACAGTGGTTCCCCAATTGAATCCTGGATCACCTAGACTAGCTAGCTAGGTACCTCTTCTTGTATCTACCAATTCAACTGCGCTGCTTGTGGAGCGAGTTATATTGGCCGTAGCCTTAGAAGCTTGATTTCTCATGCTCGGGAACATTTGCTAGTGTGACCAAATAAAGGTGTAGTGAAAACCATCAACAGCTGGACATTAGACCACCTGGTCCAAACTGACCACAACGCCAGCTAGCATTGAAGAATCCCTCACTATCATCAGTCGGGTACCAGATAAATTACTAAAACCATCCACGTGCCAATACTCCAAATAATAGAGGCTACTGCAATTCGCCTAAAACAACAGGTGCTCTGTGGGAAGAAGAAACAGGTTCAACCACTGTCACTGCCCTGACCTGCTGTGGAGTCTGAGAATTCCCGAATAGCTTATTACATAGACCTGTTTTGATATGGCCTTCCATCCTGTACATTTAAATTCCCTTACCCCGTTATTGCATATGCATGAACTAACATTTTGAGTTCCTGTTTAAACGCAGTGGTTAACTAACACACTGACACACACACACACATACACACAACGCCAATAACCCTTAATTTAATATGAACATGACTCATGACAATTCACTTGTCATTCATAATCATTTACTTCGTAATATTGGTGTTTCCTTTAGTGCCACAATTATACCTATTATCACATACATATATTTTGAACTATGATCTTTTATAACAATCTATTTGCAATAAAAACGTTTGCGATTCTGACGTTAATGATTCCTTGTTGCCTTTAAAAAACCACTAATGTTGTCAATAACAATCATTCTCTCACTATCTTAGATAAATAACCGTAGAACCTGATCATGAAGTTAGCGGAAAGTGTAAAATACCTCTTAATTAACAGACTGAATACAAAGTCGTTGAGGAAGCCTGCACTAACACTTAGATGTTGAGCGAGACTTAAGAATGTGACGTGTCCTGCTGATGAGATTTATCAGTAGTATATAGAGAGACGTTCACCGACTTCAAATTATCAAATAGTGTAGAGAGAGATTTGATATCAAAGAGAGCAAATAATTCAATGTTGCGACAAAACATGTCGGACACCGAAAAACGACAAAAAGCACAATACGAAGTGGGGCAGAAGTAGAACACCATAGAAGATCTGTGCTAATCACCGTTTGCAGATAAGGTGTACATAATTTTACTATATAGACACACCAAATTCCTAACAAACATTCCCTTACCAAGTCTCTTGTCTTCTACATTCAATACACATTGCACAATCAAACAGCTCATTTGACCTCTTTAACACAAAATATATATCGTTTACAATAATATTACAAATGGAACTATACCCGCTTTCGACCTATTCTTAGAATTCACGTTCTCCCCTATACCACCACACTAGTGGTGAGACTTTTCACATGTCCGCATAGAGCATTTAACGAAGTCACTTTGCGAGTATTCTCAATCAGTTGATTCGATAAACAAAGCAACTACTATCAACAATACCTCCTTCCTCTCTGCTAAACAGGCATTTATAACCATCACTTTGTGATTCTGTATGATGATCACATAGCAATGCTGTAGTACAGCCAACCTCTAGATTTCTTACTTGGATACGGTTCAGAAACAGCTGGGCTACTAAAAGTGCACAGAGTAATGGCAAAATCTATAATATTTCCATATCAGATAGAGTACTTCAAAAGACTCGAGAATAATTCTCAACAGATCAGTACAATATTATGCATCACTGGTATAAGAATAAAAACTTGTGCACTGTGGTAGAGTGTAATTCCATTATGAGTAAATTTTGTTTTGATAAAGTCTCACAGTGTTATACAGTAATGTTTACTGATGACGTTTCGAGCACAATTTAATGCTCATAATCGTCATTACAAAAGCTGACAAAGGACACTCGACAGTAGTCTTGGATAAATCTGACTATATCAAGAAAGTCACTGAACATACCGAATTATCGCTGGAAATAGCCACTTGAGCCGCGGCAGAACAAAGGTTGCCTGAAGCCTTATCATGTACTGAACTGAATGAATCGG